TAATTGAAGAGAATTGAAAAGAAGAATTAGGTTTTGCAAGTACTATGAGCTTTAGGGCTAGTGGGAGTAGGGATGCTGTTGTAATCGTTGAAACCTTAACTGAAACTCCATCGAAAGACACTGAGGTTAAAAAATCAATGAATGACACCGATAGTCAGTTCGGCAATTTTTCTCAAGACAAAAACATTCAAATGATGTTCTAGTTAAATAAAGCATGACTATATGCAAAAGCCTGTTTTAATTTCTCATAATTTCTAATAAAAACTAAATGATTATTACTAGTTTTAATAAAAGTTTTAAAAATTTTCTTAGATACTTACTATATATGAATTTACAATTACAGAGTCTTAAAAATAAAATTAAAATAACTATTTTATTTATTTTTAAATCAAAGAGAATTTCTTAAAATAAAATATACAGGGTTTCACAAGATCACATAATAATAAAAAAATAACTGCTAAAATATTTTTTTTAAGTATTTACCTGATAACATAATTTTATTTATTTAGCAATAGTTTACAGTACGGTTTTTGTGTGTCACGTACGTATAATATAATAGTTTTATTATCTTGTATTTATTTATTTATTAATAAATTAAGTTGTTAATAAATAAATAAATTTAACTCATATGGGTGCTATACATATATTAAGCCATTTGCTACGTTCTTAGATTTTAAGTCCCAAACATCGCTCCTGATGTTTTGTCCCGCTAGAATTACCATCCGCCGCACAGCGAGGCGCGTCTTGGCGCGCCTTGGCGCGGCGCTCCACGCGCCTTGAGCGTGGATCGGCGCTCCACACGCCGTGTAATGGCATCTATATATGGTTGTACAAGGTGATGCAACAGTACGTCGGGCATTTGTAGATTGTAGATTCTATAAAAGAAATACCTTTTATAAGGGTTAAGTACAGATACTGTGTAATAAACATCCCGTGTAATTTCCGATTATCAAATTTATAATATTTATTTATTTATTTAACGAACATTTAACAAATTTATATAATAATAATGTATTGATTCTGGAGTTGCCAATAGGAAATCTGGTCTGCCGTTATAAGCCGTTTCAGGGATTACTCCACGATATATTTGACGCCGATGATGCTGACGCCGACGATGATGATGAGTTCTAAGCCCGCGGTTACATTGGACACGGGTCCGTGCGTTTTTTTATACGTGCGAGCTCTGACGGAATTTACTCGTACGACTATTTTATTATAGTGGTTACATTAGATGCGCGTTCATGGTGTCTTGTGTGTCGAGTTTGTCAAATCGAGCGCCACTACTTTGTTATTGTGTGAGAACATAATGTTAAAATAACTATACTCATGAAAAGAAGAAAATGTTGGGTAAATGATTTATACGCAAGAAGAGGAGAAGAAAATAAATATGTAAAACATTTAGTGAATTAAGACAGCAACTGGTCCAATTTTTTGATTATTTTAGAATGTCTCCATCAACATTAATATATCCCAAATAAAATTAAACCTGGTATTCAAAAATATTCAAATTTTTCGAGGATGTATTGGGATCAGAGAAACAAAATTTGAACGCTCGGACGTGCACTTATTAAAAAAACAAACCAGTTTGTTTTCATCCGACCAACGGAAATTGACGTACGTGCACGGACGCGCACACTCCGATGCAGTGTAACCGCCTGAGTAGATGGTATTTGTTTGATTTTTGCTGCGTGCACGTCCGAGCATGTACGACCAAAAAAAACGTACAATGACACGCATCCAATGTAACCACGGGCTAATTCTGTTTAGCGTGCACCAGGTTTTCCTTGGTAAGTCGAAACCTGATGGTGAGTTGGTGATGCATGGCATGTCATAGTTTTGTTTTGACGTCCATTCCTGATACCAAGCGTCGGTGACGCTCCATTCGTCATGAATTGCATTTAGTGCGGCCTTGGTGGGTGGATTTCTGGATCGGAGGCGGTTGTGGTTAGCATCCTCGATGTCTGTATGGATCGGTAGTTCTCTGTTGTACAATATCTTTTTAAACTCTCTGTACAGAGCGTTTATGCGGCGCAGACTTGGGGGTGAGATGTGACTCAGTACTGGGAGCCATTCTGTGTTTGTGGATTTAATAACATCAGCGATCATTCTCATTGTATTATTGAGCTGTGCTTATTTTGTGGACATGTGGGCTATTGAGCCAAACCGAAGCACGGTATTCGGCAGCTGAGTAGACAAGACTCAGAGCTGACGAGCTTAGAGTCCACACAATTTTTGTATTATATTGTTTCTTGTTTTCAGCTTCTCTGCTGTTTTTGATAAATGCTCTTTAAACGAAAGTGTTCTAACGAGTGTAACACCTAGGTACTTTGGGTTTTTATTATGTTTGAGAGTAGTGTTCAAACTGGACACTGAGTTCTCTATTTGCGAGTTTGTTATTCAGGTGAAAGCAGGATAGTTCTGTTTTGCTAGCGTTTGGTTGGACTCTATTTCCCGAAATATTTCCCTAACTTCCTGAGATCAGCCGTCAAAATTTCCACTGCTTCTTCGAATGAGCCGCATCTTATAGTATATCCCCAATTATAATAAAGTAAGTGATGAGATGGCTTGGAAATAAAGATCGTTATCATTTTATATGCAAAATTATATGGGAAATCTTAACTATCGTCATTTGCAAACCAATTCGGCTTGATTTATTTCGATCATACGTTATAAATCAATTAATTGTAGCAAGCCTCTAGTGTTATTAGATTTTCAGGACATCAATTTGAATTTTTAATTATTTTTTGCTGATGAAATCCATGATGAAGTCCATTATTAAGAACCTGTAGAGATTAGACGGACGGTTGCAAGACCCTGATCAGTTTTGAGTTAATAATGTGTTGAAAAATAGAAATGTTGTGAAGAAATTTTTAAAAACATTGCTGACTTACATAAAATAACAATTATTATACCTCTCTTGTTGTCAAATTGGCTTGGAAATGACGACTGATGAAAAAAGTTTGTAATAAACTTAGAAATTCATAATTTAGAATATCTGTCTTCTTAAAACTAAAAAATCCTTTCTTCATATTACAGGACTGATATAGAAATCAATGCAAATTCTCCCTGCAAATAAAGGGCTATTTAAAAAAAAGGCAAATTTGGGAAAGCTGACTTTTTTATACCTGAATCAACATACATTAGGGATTTTAATTTTGATAAATTAAAAGCGGAACACCGTGGAACTCATTACTATAACTCATTATGAAAACAAAATTATAAAAAAAATAAACACAAAATAGTGTGTTTAAAATATATTTTATCCACATTCAAAACAGTTCAAATTTATTATATTGATACTATTTAACTGTACTACATGTCTTCAATTTTCAAATGGTTGTGCTGGGTGTAAATGACACTCTTTCGCGCTCCACGTTTGTGCAAAGCTAACGCTCTCCCCAGAAAGTGTTAGCAAAATGAGCACCGTTATAGTTGCTCGGAAAAAATTATAATATTTAAAATTAGGTCCACGGATTTAATAAGAATAACAGTGAGTGGATGAACATACAAAAAAATATTTGTAATTTCGATTTTTATCAAGCTAAACATAGCATTTTGCCGTGTGTGAGCACCAAATTTTTCAGCAGTATAGTATTATTTATTACTGAAATAAAAAATAATACTATAGCAAAAAGGCAATAATATTCTCGATTATAATAAATTGTAATTATTTTTTTGTATGCATCAATAGAAAATTAAATGTTTTTTGCATAAAACATATACAGGGTGTTTTAAAACAAGTCAAAAACTTCAGGGGGTGATTCCTTGTTCAAAATAAAGGGTAGTTTGCTTCATAAACGTTAGGTCAAAAGTCAACCATTAGGGAGATATTGCGGTACAAAGATGGCGGAAAAATAATGTTTTTATTTTTTATCTTGAAAACGAAAAGAGATAGACTAATAAAATTTTATGGAAGCATTACTGTTACGAAAACACACTTTCAGGTAATTTTTTTACTTTTTTAAAATGAGTGGAAGGGGTTGAAATAAACTACCCCTATCATTCTTGTTAACGAAATTTAAAGAAAAATCTTATCAAACACATGCAAAAAAATTAATTTTGATAGTTTAGTTTGCTTAGAAACTTTTTTATCTCTTGTATTTTTTTGATAAAACTCACCGATTTGAAATTAAAAAATAAAATGTGAAGCATTACATGTCAGGAAGAAAAAACATTTTCTGATAAAGAATCTAGTGGGCTGCTGTAATTTTTTTACGAAAAAATCTAGTCGGCCTCTGTTACTTTTTAGGATGTTCCTAATATTATTTTATTTGACATTACTCTACTGCACTACGTTATTATCTAGATGATTATTATCATCGTTATTATCACTAGATTCTTAATATAAAAATGTTTTTTGTCCTGACATGTTACATGTCCTTTACATTTTATTTTTTAATTTCCAATCGGTGAGTTTTATCAAAAAAACACAAGAGGTAAAAAAGTTTCTAAACAAACTAAACTATCCAAATTAAAGCATTTGCATGTGTTTGATAAGATTTTTCTTTAAATTTCGTTAACAAGAATGATAGGGTTAATTTATTTCAACCCCTTACACTCATTTTAAAAAAGTAAAAAAATTACCTGAAAGTGTGTTTTCATAACAGTAATGCTTCCATAAAATTTCATTAGTCTATCTCTTTTCGTTTTCAAGATAAAAAATAAAAACATTATTTTTCCGCCATCTTTGTACCGCGATATCTCCCTAATGGTTGACTTTAGACCCAACGTTTATACAGCAAACTACCCTTTATTTTGAATAAGGAATTACCCCCTAAAGTTTTTCGCATTTGTTTTGAAACACCCTGTATACGAAATAGGATTGTTAAACAAAAAATAAATTCATCACCGCAAAACCCTCTGCTAAACACTTTTCCTAATTACTTAAACATTTTAACCTAAAAACACTCTAATGGTATTAAATTTCGTAGAAAACATAAGGTCGATAATTTGTTTTTGGTATTGACCGAAGATGTCAAAGCATATTGTTTATTTTTTAGATCCAGTTTGTTTTATACGAAACACATTCTGAATTAGAAAAAGAGAACGAGGATATGGTCAACAATACCTTAAGGGACGTCAACAAATTAGCCAAATTACAACACGCCACGCTTCAAGGAAAATTTTGCCTGTCGGATTTTCAAGCCGATGAAACAATTTCAATGGTAAACAAACTAATTAAGTTTTGTAAGATAACGTTTTAAATTATACACCGGGTGCGTCTCGAAAGTGACTCACTCCTATAACTTTTTTATTTTTTCAGATAAAAAAACGAAATTTGAAAAATTAACGAGAGTCGTTATGAATCGCATGTTGCAATATCAAATAAACCATACTCAAAACTGTCAAAAGTTGACATATGATATGTAATTCTATTCAGAGTGTCATTTTCTATCGAATAAAGTAACAAAATACCGAGGGTGCCATTTAAAAATCAAAAGTTGTAGTCATTTCCGGTGAAGCAGGAAGTGACCGAAAACAATAATGGAATACGTCAATCAATCCTAATTTATGGCATATACTAACACACCAAATCTCGGTTTTTTATCTCAAAAAATAAGAAAATTATCGGGGTGAGTCACTTTTGAGACGCACCCGGTATACTGTGTACCGTGTGTTGCATCGCCCACCTGGACATCCCATGTAAATTTTAAAAATGATGAATAAGTTTTCCCCATCTTATTGTACAGAAAAATATATTTGAAACTTTTTAAAGAACTACATAAAATGAAGCAAATCGTTCATTTTGAATGGTTTATACGGATTCGTTCTTGAGTTATGAGAGATACAAAAATATTAAATCAAAAATTTAAAATAATGCGGTCCTGATAAAACAAACATAACAATCACGTCATCAAGTTATGTCACAATATGATAAATCTATTATGGTTTTCTTCTACAGAGATCTGTCAAAAATATTTTCAGTTATATCCTTGTTTATATTATAAGGGTTATATTATCTATGAAAAATTACAAAAACAGAGTACGTAAAGATACGAGAATTTTTTAAAAATCAAATATATTTCGTAGACGAGTAAACACACTGCTTTAAAAGAAAATGTATTTATTGAACTAATTGAAAATTAAGAGTACCTGCTAATAATTAAAAAATGGATAATCGTCCAATAATTCTTGGTGTTCGGAATATTTAAATGACTTAAAATTATGCTTCTTCAAATTCGCCAAGCAGTGGAACGATGTTTTTTGACTATTTCTCCAAGTATTCTGGTACTTACTTGGTTTTCAGATTCCACTTGTAGAGATGTAACTACGATATTTAATTAATTTTCATTTATTTATTGTTTCTCCATGTTCCTCATCAATATTAATCTTCTTTTTTAATTTACATTTTTTAATAACTGTTCGGGTTGGAATCCTCTAATATTTATTAAGTCGAGCATATTTTGAAAATGTACAGAAAATAAATCCTTTACAGCCTGTAGATTTTTTCCTCCATAATACATAACCACTAAACTATTTTTTTCTTTAGTTGTTTGTGTTATTCATATTTACAAGTTATATTTATCACATATAAAATCAATATGACCTTAAAAATTATTTCTTTTAAATTTATTTTTGGCAACAATAAAGTCAATTTAGCATTAAAAGATTGAATTTGAAGGTCACACCTTTGTTATTTTAATCAGGACCGTATAATTTTTTTTGATTAATTTAGTATTTTTGTATCTCTCGTAGCTCAAGAACGAATAAATTCGTATAAATCATTCAAAGTGAACAATTTGCTTCATTTTAAGGAGTTTTTTAAAAAGTTTCAAATAATTTTTTCTATAAAATAAAATGGGGAAAACTTATTCACCATTTTTTAAATTTACATGGGATTTCCTATGTCCAGGTCGGCAATGCAACAGACTGTATGCGAATTAAGAATAGTTAAGAAAAAAAATATTTTCCATAATAATTAGTCACCATTATAAAATACGTTAAATTATAATTCTTTTAATGCTGTAGTTTTTTTTACATATAGAGAGAGATATTCTTTTGATAGACAAGTTATAGTTTTTGCTTAAATTTATGTGCGTTTTTTATTTTTAGGAAATTAAAGAGATAAACAACAACGAGAAGACTATTTCAGAGAGTGGCGATAAACCAAACCAAACCAAACGAACTTCCATCGATTCTGTAGCGTCCAAACTTACAGTTGATTTTAAGGAAAGATTGCTCGATAATCTTCAAGTAACATTCTAATAAATCTGTATTTTAATTTTAGTATTATTTATATAGTTTACTTATAGATTCCAGATACGGATATTTTTATCAATCCAGATTTGCCCAGCTTATGTCCTAATGAAAATTCCTGCATTAATGTAAAGAAAGAAGGATGCTATTTAGCACTTATACAAAGAAAAGTAAGTTGTATGTTTAAAAATCAATCAAAATAAAAAAACTCTCTATATTTTGATTGTAAATTGTGTAGTTTGTTGTAGTAATATTACATTTTCCAACAAATCTATATTAGACCTTTGATTAAAAAATATAAATGAGCCATCATATCCATAGAAATTATGAAAATTTAACACTACAATGCAGGGTGTCCCAGAAATAAGTGCAAAGATTTTAAGGGGTGGTAGATCTGGCTAAAAGAAACATATTTTCTCTTTACCGTTTTTAAAATAAATTGATAATAACCGAGTTATTTAACTTTGAAAATTAAAAAAATAATGTCAACATTTTAAGAACCGCCGCGCCGGCAGTCGATAATCAGCAGCAAATACCAAGCAATTACCAGAGTCTCAGCTTATTCGACGCCCAGTGTTGACACGTTGACTAGAAAAAATTAAAACGACTAACGAAGTAATTAGCAACTAAAAATAATTTATATTTCGATTTGAATATTAAAAGTATTTTTACAGGCTTACCGTACATTTGCCTATCTTTTAATTTTGTCAGAGGTTTACTATTTTGAGTAAAATCTCAAATGAATTGGATAACCTAAAGTTATCGAATGGAAGGAGGAATGTCGAATGTCGATCTGGAATATTTATATTATGAGTTTGCCGTTTAAAGTTGTTTAAAGAAAATTTATAATGTGTTTGTGTAGAATTGTTTGATGTCTAAAAGTTAAAATAATATTCTGCTAAAAGTTATAACATGTGATGTTCAGCTTAATAGATATGTGGGTGTGCACGTGTTTGTGTAAGAGTAAGCACTATCAAAATATTTATACGGTATAACTATTGAGAGAAAAGAGTTTTATTAATCCAATTTACTATTCTGTAAAAAAAGGTATTTAAAATAGTAGATGTTGCACTATACTTAATTGTAATCTATAATGATTAAAAAATCTACGCAGGGTGTCCCAGAAATAAGTGCAAAGATTTTAAGGGGTGGTAGATCTGGCTAAAAGAAACATATTTTCTCTTTACCGTTTTTAAAATAAATTGATAATAACCGAGTTATTTAACTTTGAAAATTAAAAAAATAATGTCAACATTTTAAGAACCGCCGCGCCGGCAGTCGATAATCAGCAGCAAATACCAAGCAATTACCAGAGTCTCAGCTTATTCGACGCCCAGTGTTGACACGTTGACTAGAAAAAATTAAAAACGACTAACGAAGTAATTAGCAACTAAAAATAATTTATATTTCGATTTGAATATTAAAAGTATTTTTACAGGCTTACCGTACATTTGCCTATCTTTTAATTTTGTCAGAGGTTTACTATTTTGAGTAAAATCTCAAATGAATTGGATAACCTAAAGTTATCGAATGGAAGGAGGAATGTCGAATGTCGATCTCGGAATATTTATATTATGAGTTTGCCGTTTAAAGTTGTTTAAAGAAAATTTATAATGTGTTTGTGTAGAATTGTTTGATGTCTAAAAGTTAAAATAATATTCTGCTAAAAGTTATAACATGTGATGTTCAGCTTAATAGATATGTGGGTGTGCACGTGTTTGTGTAAGAGTAAGCACTATCAAAATATTTATACGGTATAACTATTGAGAGAAAAGAGTTTCATTAATCCAATTTACTATTCTGTAAAAAAAGGTATTTAAAATAGTAGATGTTGCACTATACTTAATTGTAATCTATAATGATTAAAAAATCTACGATGAATAAAGTTTAAGTTTTTTTGTCGAAATTTCAAAATGTCAACTTATATTTTATAGCAGAAGAAAAACATACAGAATGTGGATAACGTAAGAGGTGGTAACATTTTCAAAGCATTATAAACAAATTTCCCGAAATTAAACAGCGGCACTCAAAAGTTTTTCAATATTTTCCGGAAAATGTAAAAAAATATAACATTTTCAACTTTTTTTTCGCAAAAATCCCTCATGGGCGAGTTTCTGGGGTCCAACTATTCTACCAGTTAAAATACTTGTAATTATTTCTGTGACAGCCTGTATACAGGGTAATTGACCCTCGTCTCTGACTTTTTCAAAAAGAAGTGTGACATCTGGTGACACCTTGAAACCTATTTTTTTTTCTGCAACCATACTATTTCTTTTCTTAATCGAAACACATTTTTTAATAATTTTTATTAACTTTTATATTTAAGGTTTTGCCATATCCAAGCGGTGCATTGGTATATTTCAACACGTTGTATTTGTAAAAAGAACATTTGTTAACTAAAAATTGTTAAAACCATTTTCACCAAAAAGTCACATAGTATTTCGATAAATAACTTCTTCTAGTCGTGTTATTGGCAGAAAAAATAAATAAAAAGCAACTCATAAACCCTAATTCAAGCCAGTCATATTGAACACTTAATGGAATCGCTAATATTGCGTTTTTAGAAATTTTATTCAATTGTAATTACTGTAAAATGAATAAAAAATACGTTTTTTTATAGGAAATTGTTCGTTTGGATGACAAATATATGATTCAAATGGCAGAAAATAGGGGATTGTTTGGTAGTAACACAACGACCACTACTACTAAGTCAAAAACGAGTAGGACGTCGAAGAAAAAACCGACTAAAGCTGACAGGAAACCAAAACATAGAAAAAAATTACTGGATGCAGAAGTAAATTATTTCTTATAATTTTGCAATTAATAATTAATTTATGAAATTCGAGCATTTTTAAATAATTTTTTATCATGAAGAAACAGTGTCAAGATTATTATGAAAACCACTTTTTTTGTTTCGAAAAAAAATTATTTTCAGACGGAATAGTGATAAAGAAAAATGATATTTTAATTGCTTAGCATCAAGATATGTTTGTTCTCAAAAAAAGAGATATATAAACATACTAGAATATCGAAAAATGTATTTGCTAAGAGGCAGAGATATTGCAAAACAGATGTACAAATAAAAATTTAAATTTATGTATATTAGTGAACATGTTTATGTATAATTTGTGCACTAATACTGTATAGGTTAGTTTGAAATGTTTGTAAAGCAATGATTTTTAAATATTTTGTTCAAATGAAAATTTAACATTAGTATAAAACAAAACTGTAGTTGAAAACTCAGATAACGTTTCTAAAATAAATCTCTATGTCTCTACATTTTTATTCATATTTTATTATTTTAATTTCAGTAAGTATAAATATACTAAAATTTTTCTAGATAATCCAGGATAGGGCAACTATTTTTGGAAATCGTCCCACAAGTTTTTCTTTAAATTTTGTTAACAACAATGATAGGGTTAGTCTATTTCGTCCTCTTCCACTATTTTTAAAAAATGAATAAAATTCCTGGTGCGTCTCAAAAGTGGCTCACCCCTATAAATTTTTTTAGGTAATTATGCAGTATAGGTGTTTTTCGTATTTTTAGTGATATCTCAAAAATTCTTTTTTTACGTGATTCTAGAGACCAAATACAACACCAATCCGTGTGCGCACGTTGAAATTTTTTTTTCTGATGTTAAGACAAGTTGAGCCGAACTCCTCTTCATATCGAGCGTTGGGCGGGTTGGTTAGCGTGGTTATTTGGAGGGTGTTAATTCATTGGTTAGTCATAGGTAATTATATGATTAATTATTTTAACGCTCGTTACCAAAATGCGTCCCGTAAGTATCAATTTTTTTTATAATAAATATGTAAATTATAAATTTTCTAAAATAAAATTTCAACATGCGCACACGGATTTGTGTTGTATTTGGTCTCTTCTTCTTCTTCTTCTTCAAATGCCTTCTTCGTTGCGAAGGTTGGCAATCATCAGTGCTATACGTATTCGTGACACAGCCGACCGAAATAGTTGGTATGTGGTGCACCCGAACCAGTCACGTAAGTTTCTCATCCATGAGTGGCGCCTTCTTCCTACACTTCTCTTTCCTTGAATTTTTCCTTGTAATATCAGTAGGTGGTACTTTTCTCCTCTCATGACGTGTCCAAGGTACTGAAGTTTACGCTTTTTTACCGTTATGATAATTTCTTTTTCCTTTTTTATTCTTTTCAGGATTTCCATGTTGGTCACTTATCGGTCCATTTTACCCTAAGCATTCTACGGTACAGCCACATCTCGAATGCCTCTAGTTTCCCTATGTCAAGTTTATTCAGAGTCCAAGTCTCTACACCATAATACAGCACCGACAAAACATAGCATCGCACCATTCTGATTTTTAAATCCAAGCTGAGATCGCTGCCACAGAGCACTCTTTTCATTTTCACAAATGTTGTTCTCGCCTGTCCTATTCTAGTTTTAATTTCTTCAGAACAGTCGTTATTTTTATTTACAATTATACCTAAGTATTTATAACTGTCAACTTTTTCTATGGTGTGGTTATTTATATGAATTTGTGAATTGTTTGGTGTTGTTTTGGTTATTATCATAAATTTTGTCTTTTTTACATTTAGTGACAGTCCGAGCTCTTCACTCGATGTATTAACTTTATCTACTAATATCTATAAATCGTTTAGGTTGGCAGCCATCAGGATCGTATCATCCGCATATCTTATATTGTTGATAGGCACTCCGTTAATTTTTAGTCCTTTCGTTTCATCGTCCAATGCTCGTTTCATTATTTCCTCTGAATAGAGGTTAAATAACATCGGTGATGTTATTAGCACGCACTCCTGCCTAACGCCTCGACGGATTTCTATTTCTTCGGTGTTATTCCCTTCTATTTTTACCACTGCTTTTTGATTAAAATAAAGATTCGTAATAATTTTTATATCTCTGGTGTATAAGTTCTTTTCTTTCAGAACCTGGATAAGTTGTTCGTGTCTGACCCTATCGAAGGCTTTGTTGTAATCAATGAAACATATATAGAGATCCTGATTCATATCCATACATCGTTGGGCGAGAACGTTCAAAGCAAATAGTGCTTCTCTTGTGCCTAAGCCATCTCGGAAACCGAATTGAGTCTCGCTGATATCCTGTTCTAATGTTTTGTAAATCCTGTGATGTATCACCTTCAGAAGTATTTTTAGCGTATGACTCATTAGACTGATTGTTCGAAAGTCTGTGCATTGCCTTGCATTATGTTTTTTCGGGATAGTGACGAACGCTGATAGCAACCATTCCCTGGGTATAATACCTGTTCTGTATATGGTGTTGAACAGATCTGTTAGACTGTGTATGGTCTCTAAAATCACGTGTATTTGGTGTATTTGGTCTCTAAAATCACATTAAAAAAGATTTTTTGAGAAATCTCGAAAAAAGTGTTTCAATATTTTCCGGAAAATGTAAAAAAATATAAAATTTTCAACTTTTTTTTCGCAAAAATCCCTCATGGGCGAGTTTCTGGGGTCCAACTATTTTACCAGTTAAAATACTTGTAATTATTTCTGTGACAGCCTGTATACAGGGTAATTGACCCTCGTCTCTGACTTTTTCAAAAAGAAGTGTGACATCTGGTGACACCTTGAAACCTATTTTTTTTTCTGCAACCATACTATTTCTTTTCTTAATCGAAACACATTTTTTAATAATTTTTATTAACTTTTATATTTAAGGTTTTGCCATATCCAAGCGGTGCATTGGTATATTTCAACACATTGTATTTGTAAAAAGAACATTTGTTAACTAAAAATTGTTAAAACCATTTTCACCAAAAAGTCACATAGTATTTCGATAAATAACTTCTCCTAGTCGTGTTATTGGCATAAAAAAATATTATTAACTAGAAACTTAACAATAAATAATCGTATTTAAATATTAATTATGAAATATAAAATTAATGATTTAATTATTTGTTTCAGTGGGGTATTTGTATTTAGAATTATAAACACATTATTGAGTCTACTCTATATTTTAACTTGGCAGAAAAAATAAATAAAAAGCAACTCATAAACCCTAATTCAAGCCAGTCAAAACCAAAAATACGAAAAACACCTATACTGCATAATTATCTTTTTTTATTTTTTCAGATAAAAAAAACGAGATTTACCAAATCTCGTTTTTTGTAGTATATGTATTTTGTAGTATTTTCGTTAGTATATAACATAAATTAGGATTAATTGACGTATTCAATTTTTTTCATCATTTCCGGTTCCCCCGGAAATGACTACAACTTTTGATTTCTAAATGACACCCTCGGTATTTTTTTACTTCATTCGATAGAAAATGACACTCTGAATGGAATGACATATCATATGTCAACTTTTGACATTTTTGCATATTTAAAATTGTAACATGCGGTTCATAACAACAATTTACTTGAAACTAGGTATTTCGAGCATGTTGTGAGCATGTGGTATCAAATTATTCGTAAAATATGCTTTTTCCAAATATGCTAAAGAGCCAGCCTTGTTCCTTTTAATTTTTAATAATCAGAAAAAATGAAAATATATAGGGTGTACCATTTAAAAAATTTGAGATTTTTTAATTTTAAGTAGTTGAAGTTCATAAATATATTTTGAACACCCTGTAGCATTTAACTAAAATATCTTAACATATATCTTCTTTTTAATCTCTATAGAACTCTCATACTAAATTTTGGTATTCCAACTTCAGAAACAATGGTACCACTGACAATTTTTTACCACACTGCAATTTAACATTTGTATAAACAAATTTAAATATTACAAAAACTGTTAATTTTAGGTATATAACATTATATATAAAAAAGTTATAGAATTTTACGCAGAATCCAAAAATTAAATAAAAAATAGGGCGTTGCCTTTAAAAAAACATATGTTATATCCGCCACACTTTTTTGAAGCACCCTGTATACTCTATAATAATTTTAAAATGTGTATCTTAATCTTCCTTATAACTTTTGTATTTAATATTTTTTTGTAAACCTCAAAACAAATGAGATAATGGACTTTACTCTATCGTTGACTCACCCTGTACATCAGTGTTATAAAAATTGAGATATGATTAAAAATACGATTTAGACATCTTTTAACCGGCCAGGACAAGACATGAAAAACATTAGACGATCAAACTATTTTTCCAAGGCTCCTTGATTACAAATTATTGTTTTTAACACAGTTATGGAACTCTAGATTGAAATTTAAAATACTTTTTTTAAGGAAAAATGTCAAAAGTTGACATATGATATGTCATTCTATTCAGAGTGTCATTTGCTATCGACTAAAGTAAAAATATACCGAGAGTGCTATTTAAAAATCGAAAGTTGTAGTCATTTCCGGTGAAACAGGAAGTGACCAAAAAAATTGAATACGTCAATCATTTCTAATTTATGTCATATACTAACATACCAAATCGCGTTTTTATCTGAAAAAATACAAAATATGCCGTCTCTCGTAAGAAGATTCCTCACGTAAAAATTAGATTTATTTTTTATATCAACATAGGTCCGATTTTGCTTTGCTATAAAGCTATAAGCGGTTAAAGTTTTCATTTTTTTTCGAAATATTATAATTTTCTTCCAAAATTTTTGGCGATTTGAATAAAATTTTGAGGGTAAGAGTTGCTATAAGTGCGACATATTTTAAAGCTAAAAAAGTGTCACCAATGACGTGCCATATTCACCAGTGACGTGCATGTGGGTTATCACTGGAATATTAAAAAAAACATGTATGCCACTGACTTTTTTCTCTTGTCAATCTTTTTGATGAGATAAACGCAATTTAATGAGTTTACCTTAATCCAGGTCTAATGCAAACTTT